TTCTAAAGTGGAGAGTTCTGTGCAACTGTAAAACTCTGGCCACACCATGCTTTTTTGCCCTCTTCCCAAGTCCTCCTAAAAGCATCCTTTTATTGCATCCAGTATTTAATGCATTATATCCAATATTGAATACAAACACATAGTGATTAGCTGTTGTTATTTTGCATAAGCAAATGCTCAGTTTCTTACTAAAAAATCACCATGGGAATCCCTCTCTGCGCCTTTCTTTCTAGATAGGTAAAATGAACGATCCAGGAAGAAACCATCTCTACAAGCCAGTCCCATGTTTCTAGGGTAACAGAAGACTAAAATGTTCAAAGGGAATACATGAAAATCAATAAGTATTTGCTAAAGGACTTCATAGTCAATATTCTTTGAAGATACAAAAAAATTGGCATAATTACTACTTTTCCCTGGTAGTTGGTGGTTTTTGTACAAATGGGCATGCGAATCAGGAGAAACATAGAAATGTGTGTGCACTGGGGCGCCTGGGTGGCCCAGTTGGTTGAGCACCCCACTCTTGATTTAGGCTCAGGTCATGGTCTCATGGTTCATGGGCAGAGCCTGCTTGGGATTCTCGGTCTCCCTCTTTCTCTGCCCCTCTCCCCAGTCTCTTTCTCAAAAATAAACATTTTTTTGAAACCAATTTGACAATAAACTTCATATATTGAAAAAATAAATAAACATTTTTTTAAACATAAAAAGAAAAAAGAAATATGTGTATCACCTTTTGTTGTTGTATTAGAAGATAGTGTGTTAAGCTCTTGATCTGACTAAAAGTACAAAGACTTTGGAAATAAATCACGTAAATTCTATTCACTTCTTAGCCGTGAGATTAGCAAGAATAGCAAGGTTGCACTCCTGTCAAGTGGTTTTCTGGCTAAAATATTATTCTTAGAATTGGGATTGACATTTATCAAGGTCCTCAACTGAATACTTAAAAAGTTATGTTGAGTCTGTATTCTCAGAGTATGCACATTCAGCAATTTTGGGGTCAAACTATTTAGTCTATTATAACAGCTGAGATCTGAACAATTGGGAAATCAAGTGATCTGACAACTGATTCATCAAGTCTGTGAAACATCCAACTGTGATCATTAACTGGAGAATCAAATCCATTTCCTGCTTTTTGATTTACAAAGTGGTAATTAAAGAGTAATGATGCTGTTTGGGACCAACCCCCTTTCTATACCTATATAAGCCCTATCTTATTCTATCAAGTATTAAATATGTACTAAGTCAAAAATAACTTCTGATCAATAACACTTTTGAATTATGGCCTACCAGAGTACAAATGCTAAGGCAATTTTTCATTTGCTTGAATTACCTGGGTACATAGCACAATCTGAACATTGTGAAACCAGACCCAAGCTTTCTTACCCCGGTGTAATTTGCATTTCTTTTAAATCCCATCCTTCCATTCCCAGCAGTGTGGGGTTATTTGCCAAACTAGCATATTTCCATTATGGTTGTAAAGTTGTCTGCCTACATACATTATAGGGGAAGCTATTAATATTTCATTTTCCTGAATACATTTTGTGAGACTTAAGAGACCCATGTAAACTTGCCTACGAATCTGGCAAGCTACTTTTAGCAAATAAAGAACCATCGAGCAATAAAGAGGCATTACTAACAAACTGTATTTTAAAATCATCTGCAGCTGAGAGTCAGCCTGTACAATGCATTATTCTCAGGAACCTGACACACACTTAATTTTGATCGTGCCTAAAATAAGGGTTAGTTGCCCAGGTTGCATAATCCATCTGATTTGTTAGTGTGTTCTTTAATGTCATCTGTCTTTAGGCTGAAAGAGCTGCCATTGAAGTGCTTTGCTCATGTTAATTGATGAAAACTAAGTGCTTCCCATCACCCTAACTCTTTTTGAAAAATAATGTTCTGACATACCAAATTAATTTAAGTAATGTATTGGCTAGATATTAAATATATTAAAATATAGTTTAAGCATGTGGCACTTTATTTGCTACATCGCTAACAATAAATCTAAAAGACTGAGGTTAATAATGGAAATAAACTATTATATGTCAAAAACATTTAAATGAGAGGGAAAAGACAGTTAGGAATCTCACCTGAATTATAACAGAATAATAGGAGAGACAGAAAAGCTTTATGATGATTTTTCTCTCTCACCAATTAGCTAAGAGAAAAAAATTTATAATGAAAATATTTGTATTTATGTATTTATTTCTGAAAATGTTTTAATTTAGGAAATTGCTTAGGGTGAAATATGATGATAGTTGTGTTTTTATTTCTTATTTTTAAAAAAGGCACACAGAATGAAATTTTATTTCCAAATACAGCAAAAGTCTTCAAATAAAACAAAAAGAATATATTTCTATTTATAATAATTCCTTTTAAATTTCAAATACATTATGTTAATAATATTAAAACAGCTGTAAGTTGTTGTATCTATTTTGTATATATTAGATTTTGTATATATTAGATTACAAAGGTAAGGAAATGACAGCATTATAGTAACAGTATGGACATTAAGTTTAAAAATGTCCTAATCTGTCAAAATATGAATTTAATCCTGTTCACTATCCATAGCCTGAACATTTATCTCAAGCTTTTCTTTTTATGATTAAAATGACTGATGCATTAAAATATGTTTCTTAATTTTATTGTCTCATTCAGTGTGCTACTAACCAGTACGAACATGAAGAGAAAAAGGAAAAGTATTATGCAAAGGGAACACACACACCATAGAACATAGAAAGAACTATATTTGAATCTTAAAAACGCTCTAAGGGAAAAACAAATGGTCTTGCTTTTGCCATTTCTCACAGAACAGCCTTACATGGTTTTCATTTGCCTTGTTTCATCCTTCACTTGGACAGGAAGCCCTTAACTGTTTTCTTTCATGCTTTTTTTTTCCTCTCCTGCCTCCACTCCAGCAAGCGCGCGCGCGCGCACACACACCCCCAACACACACCCGCCTCCCCGCCCCCGCCCCTCTTTTTCGTGTAGTCTCTGCAGTGAAAGCTACCATAGTTATCTCATGGAGTCGTCGCATGCAGACGCCTCATGCAGACGTCTGCCAGTGGATGATAGCAAATGCTGATTGAGAAAGGGTTTATCTACTTTTCATCCAAAATATGTGAGCCATTAAGGAAATTATAAAAAGCAGCAACAATATACTCTGGTTTTATTCAGAACCTTTCCCTTAGCGATTATTAAAAGGATGATATTTTTAGCCAAAGAAAGCAAAATGCATCTGCAGCAGCTGGTTTCCAAGGAAACAGAATAATTTAAAACCATGTGGAACTCTGCTCTCTAATTTTCATCAATTCCCCTTCATTCCTGGAGGTAGCTTTACTCAGAATTTATAATTTCCAAAAAATATAACTGCCTTGATTTATTTTTTTCTAACACGTTTTGGGAGGTGACTGTCCGGTCTCACAGATCACCTTAAATTACAACCTAGGAATAGATTAATTTCTACCTTCATTTTGTTTTAAAAACCAAGATCAGAAGATTCCATCAATAATTAGAAACATGGCAACATCACAGTACCTTATAATGATGTTTGAAATCCAGAAATAGTTCAAAACAAACCAGGCAAGTGTATTTGCTTGGGTCAATATGACATAAGTGTGTGAACATACTATCAGCTTTATTTAGTACGTTTAGGAAATTTAAGATAGTTCTCCATTCATTTAGGTAATCTTTCCTAATATTCAGTAATTTTTCTCCCTCTCTTTTTTTTTAATTTTGCAAGAACTGTTATGTTTTTGTCTTTCACTCAAAAACAAAATCCATTCTCAAATGAAAACAAAAAGCAAAAACAAGATAAAGAAATTCTTAGATATTATATATATTCATCCCTATTAGTTTGTGATTCAAAGGAAGTATTAAAAAATATTTGAATGCATCATTTACACCAGTGAAAGACTTTTATTTTATTATAATCAACAAGTATTAATTGTCCATGTGCCCAAGTCAGTAGTAATATTTCTTAAAAGCTCAGTTTTAATGAGGTTCCCCCTCCCTTAATTGACCCATATTTATGAATTAAAATAACTATAAAATTAAATGACTTGTAGTAAAATTATTTTTCTTCTTTTTACTGTAAGTGTGTCATTTAGTCTACATATTTAGAACTCTAGCTTATTTTCCCTAAGGGAAAATAAAAGGCAATATTAAGAGATACAAGCAAATCCTAACTTCTGAGCTGTTAAAAAAAATGACTGCCCTAGTGATATCACCAACAATATAAATGCTGCAAAGGAACCCTTATCTAGATATATCTGACTGATAAATGAAACTGCCAATGAAATTTGCCTATTAAGATGCTATTTTTTTACAGAAATGCTTAATGCTTCAGAAACAGGTTTCTGAGCTTTTAAAATGAAAACGGCCCTATGCATGTTGATAAACAGAGTTGTTTATCACATAAGCTTACAATTTACTAAATAAAATGACACAACCACTCAAAATCACGAGATTTATCAAGAGGAGTAAGTTAAATAAAAGAGCTTAAAAGCACACAAATCATTCATTCTAAAGTAGTGCTTAAAGAGTCTACAACCTGCAAAAATTATTTTCCTAGACCACTTACTGTACTGTTAATATTGAAAGACACCACATGAAATTTTATGTCGTATATTCAGAGAAAACTCCATTTTCCCAGAACCTGTGGAATTTACCGGGCTGTCCTCATCCTTCCTTTCATTCCCAATCACATAAACTTGAATAAAGCAAAAAAGACCCACGGTGACTCATTTTCTCTATTAATTTCGCTTCAATAACACTTTCCTGGAAAGTTATCCAGGGTTAAGACATGCCTCTGGGTTTTTTATCAGCTAGTGGTGTTGCAGAGAGAAGAAACAGCTCAGCCAAAGCTCCCTTAAACAATGAATGGGACACACTTTCGGGAAATGTCTGCAGAATAATGTTCGTATCATAAAATTGTCTCAATAGGCACTGAGAAGCATTCTAGTTTGAAGAAAAAGATTTTTTTTTTCCTTTTTTGCTCTTACCTGTAAATATGGTTTCTGTACTTCAGCTCCGTCAGAACAGACTGAAGAGTTCACGCCTCCCTCGTCGATCCATCAGGCAGCAGCCGACCAATAACAAAGCCAGATCCTGGCTTCTCAGGCTCCTGCTCCTGCTCTGCTTCCATCCCAGGTTTCCTCCCACCCCCACTCTCTTAGAGGGCAAATCTTTGCAGCTGGGAGAGAGGAAGGGAGTGGAGAAAAGGAATATGAAGAGGAAAGGAATAAAGAGATGAAAGATATTTCAAAGAATAGCTGCAAACTATTAAAATCTATCTATCTATCTATATATATATATATAAATATCTATCTGCGGATGAAGTCAGCCGAAGTAAAATGTCTTGCTTTGGATTTAGGAAAATAGGGTTAATCAGTGTCTCAACCACCTGAAATCAAAGCAAAAGACTCAGGATAAAACCTAGGTAAATTGCCTATCTTTTCAGCTCCCACTGATTTTTCTCTGGGGGGAAAAATGATCTCTTCGTTGTACATTTTGATATGTAGATAGAGGAGGTTGAGACTGAATATCGAGATAACATTATGCATATGTAGTTTGCAAAGAGATAAAATTAAAATGAATCAAGACCCTTTAGGCTGATATAAATGCAAATGTATTTGCATTTCAACCTCTGGCACTGTTTCCATTTAAAACCAGTTTCAGAGTCTAATCAGTATGAAAAACATATTTCATCCTGAGAATTAAAATATTTAAATATTGCAAAGTTATGTGGTTTGCATTACTTTAGATTCCTTAAAAGCTGACATCAATTTGCCTTTGTGAATAATGGAGCTTGTTAAAGATTAAAAAGGGATCAGCCACTTAGTTGCCTGTCTCAAAGTGACTAATTGAACTCCAATTTTATTCTCATAACCTTCGGCAAAATCATTTCACTTTTGAACTAAGAGCATGATGTGTATAAAAGGACAACCGAGGAAAACATCAAGTTACAATTCTTTCAGGCAACAAAGCAAATTCACCCACAGCCTTAAAGAGGTCAGGTTGGGACTAACAAAGAATTGAAACTCTACACAGATTTTATACAAGAGAATATAAACCAGGGTTCCTTAAGATAAAAAGTGTTATTGATTGAGCTTCTGCTAGGAAAGTTGGCCTGAAAAAGTTTACTTGGGGAGGTATAAATTAAACAATAGATGTTTTCTCCACCTCGTGGTATGTATTGTCTACCTGAGATATTATAGGTTTTGGTATTCGATTTCTTAAATCAGTAATGTATCCTCACGGAAATAAGACCAGAGGGAGGAAAAAGGAAAAGAAGTGGAAAGAAAGTATTCTTTATCTCTGAGAGTAACTGGCATGGGAACAAATCATTGGTAATCCAGAAATAACGGGTTGGGGATACTGAAAGGGTTTGGGGTATCAGTCTTTTTAGCGGGGAGTGGCTGGTAACTTGACCCGAAACTGACTTTAGATAGAAGTGCACTGATTTCACTTTGTGTATGCAGTTATTTCGAGTAGATTTGGGGGGCTCTACTAGAAATACAGAGAAGGTTACACTATACTTTATTCCCACCTAACGCTACTCTACTGTGGAAAATGCGTTCAAAGCCTCTGTGTTCCTATTGCTAGGAATTGCTGGAGGAATCCCTAAGGCAGCATTTTTTTAAAGTGAGGGCTGGGGGCTGTCTATATCAGAATCATTGCTGAGAGCCTCATTCAAAAGGCGGAGCTGTGGGCCTCATTCCAGATTTAAGGAATCAGCATTTGAGGAATTTGTGACTCAGCATTTTTAGCAAACTCTCCCCGGGTGATTTTTATGCCAACTGTGTAGGTAGCAATCCCCAGGAGTCAGGTATTCCTTGGACACAAACTCTAACCAGGTTTCATCATTATTTCAGAGGAAGAAAAAGAGGTTGGGTGGGGGAGGGAGGTTAATAAGTTTAGCTCTGACATTTTGAATTTTTTGAATATCCAGATTGAAATATTAAGTAGCCAGCTGATATGATGGATAGGTCTGGAGTGTAGGTGTGATTTGGAAATCATCTAGGGCATGGGTAAAGAAAGCACTGAGAGTGGATGAGTGCCCTTACGTCAATGCTTCTCAAAATTGTGGCCCCAAACTCCTTTAACAGAATTAAAAATGCAGACTAATGGACTCCACCCCAAACCTACTGAATCAGAATCTCTGGAGTGAAGTTTAGGAAGCACCATTTCTTTTTTTTTTTTTTTTTTCAACGTTTATTTATTTTTGGGACAGAGAGAGACAGAGCATGAACGGGGGAGGGGCAGAGAGAGAGGGAGACACAGAATCAGAAACAGGCTCCAGGCTCTGAGCCATCAGCCCAGAGCCCGATGCGGGGCTCGAACTCACGGACCGCGAGATCGTGACCTGGTTGAAGTCGGACGCTTAACCGACTGCGCCACCCAGGCGCCCCGGAAGCACCATTTCTAATAAATTTCCCGGCTAACATTCTTTGTGCACTGAAGTTTGAGAACCATCACCCTAGAAAGAGAAGTAGATGGAGGATGAAAGTCTGGGGTATACTTGCATTTAGGAACAGAGTAAGTGGAATGAAGAAAAGATTATGAGAAAAACAGTTAGCCAGGAGGAGAACCAAGAGAGTGGTCTAGCAAAATCCAAAGGAGTGAAGAATTTTTGGAAAGATGCCCAATCAAAGGGTAGGGTCTTTCTAGTGCCTTGCTATACAAAGTGCAGTTTAGGGGGTGCTATACAAAGTGCAGCACCTGGGTGGCTCAGTCGATTGAGTGTCCAACTCTTGCTTTTAGTTCAGGTCATAAACACAGTGTCATGGGATCAAGCCCTGTGTCGGGCTTCACACTGAGTGTGGAGCCTGCCTAAAATTCTCTCTCTCTCTCTCTCTCTCTGCTCCTCTCCCCAGTTTGCATGCTCTCTCTCTTTCTCTCAAGAAAAAAGAAACAAAAACAAAAAAACAAAGAACAAAGAACAACAACAAAAAAAAAAAGACAAAAATCAAAACAAACAAACAAACAAAAGTGCAGTTTACTGAAGTCACTTCAGGCATCCCCTGGAGTCCGTTTTCATGAAGAATCACAGGCCCCATCCAGGTAAATTGAATCAGAATCTTCATTTTAATAAGATCTCCAGAGGAGTGGTATGCACATTTAAGTTTTATTCTTTATTCATTTATTTTTTTGTCATTGAAATATATTTGACATATATGGTGTAAATTTAAGGTGTACAACATGTGAATTTGATACATTGTATGTAATATGATTGTCATTGTAGTGATCATTGGCACCTCTATCATGATACATGGTTATCCTTTCTTTTTAGTAGTTGGAATAATGAAGTTCTAGTCTCTTAGCAAGTTTGATGATTATAATACATAGCGTTGTCTATGTTGCACTATACGTTATGTCTCTAGGGCTTATTTACCATTTGTTGTACATTTGTACCCTTAAACAACATCTGTCCTCCCCCGCCACCCTCCCCCCCCCACCCCCTGGTAACCACAATTTTCTCAGATTTTACAAGTTTGGCTTTTTTTTAAATTTTTTTTTAACATTTTATTTATTTTTGAGACAGGGAGAGACAGAACATGAACAGGGGAGGGTCAGAGAGAGGGAGACACAGAATCTGAAACAGGCTCCAGGCTCTGAGCTGTCAGCACAGAGCCCGACGCAAGGCTCGAACTCACGGACCGTGAGATCATGACCTGAGCGGAAGTCGGCCACTTAACCGACTGAGCCACCCAGGCACCCCATGGCTTTTTTTTTTTTTTGATTCCACATATAAGTAATACCACACAGTACTTGCCCTTCTCTGACTTGAGTTTTTAGCAGCACTGTTGTCTCCCATTGAATTTGACTTTTAGTTCTTGGTGGCATTGCAAGTAAGCAGTTTCAGTGGAGTGGTTGGGGCCAGAGGCAGATTGAAGTGGTTTTTAAGAATGAATGGGAGATAAAAAAAATGAAGACAAGTACAGTGCTTACACAACCAGAACAAGGATCTTCTAGCACACTGATCACCAGGCTGTCTCAATTCAAAGAAGCTGGATATGAACAGTGGCATAAAGTGCCCTAGCCTGCTGATGCACGTCTCTGCCTTGACCACTCTGACAGAAGTGATAAGAGTAGCAGAGGCTGACGGTGAGAGAGGAGACACTTTCCTAAGGAATAGTGACAGTTGGACTCTTGATCACCACAGGAGCTCAGCTGCACATGGCCAAGAGCAAAGGTAACAGACCTTCCAAGACTAGTCTGTGTGACTTTCAAAATCCTTCATGACAAGGCGATATTACAAAATCTCTAAAGGTTAAATACCATTATTAAATAATTTAAGAATTCTTAAAAACCTGGAAAATAAAGATAACCCAAAGGAATAAAAGAATTGCCAGTCTTTAAGGAAGTCTCAGAATTAGAGTGGGCTGTAACAGGAAGGGACTTCAATATTTTATATATTAACAGGGAGAAGCTTCCTCCAGTTGAGCTGTAGAGCTAAGGCTTCAGGATAATACAAATGACCACTGAGGAGATAGATGAGGCTTGGCACTCCAAATGATTAAATAAAAATTATTCATGCTTAACTGGCTAAAGAGATTATCTTAATAGAACGTATATTTTTGAAAGTCAAGGACTTGCCAAGTGAATGGAATTGGGACCACTGTGAGGAGCCAAAGTCCAGAGGCACCCAAAATGACACCACCCAGAAGCAAAGAGACCTCTGCAAGGAACCAAACTGTCAGAGTTAAAAGATTTCAAATAAATGAAGTGTAAGCTGAAGGATCAATGGAACTATTTCACATCTCTGGTCTCATAAGCATGTGAAATGTTAAAAAAAATATGTAGAAAATTATTTTTTTATTCCAACTTCACTGAGGAAGTCATAAAAGGATTTCTAAATTGCTTTTTGAAACTGAGATTGAGAAATATCAAATTAAAAGATGTTAAATACTAAGACTCAAAAAAAAAAAAAAAAAAAGGAGTACTAAGACTCCTTAGTAAACAGACCAGCAGGACTTTTTGGCAAACACCCAAATGTTTGTAAGAACTCAAGGATAAAATTTGGTGCAACTGGCCAAAGTATTTTGCATATCACTGTAAGTTGCCTGGGTGCCAGGAGACGAGTAGACCATCAAAATTTTCTAC